TAATTCTTGCACTTTCAAGGAGGATTTCTTATGAAGACCACTGTAACGACCCGAAATTTTCTGCTCAATTTAAGGTCGCTACTATATACGTACCATAAATATTGAATACGGAAGACTTCATTTAAATTCCATAAAACATAACCTTTATCTTAAAACACAACCATGGACTTACGTGTTTCGAAAACATCTTTAAAACGATACAACAAAAGACCTGAAATAAAATAAATAAGCGTTTAAGTTTAAAGCATCTTATTCTAGCCTAAGTCTAAGAAAATAAATACCACTATCCTATGCATGTGCCATGGTCTCTTGTTGCGATGCCGTCATCAGCCATACAGGAATGCCTTGCCTTAACCTGAAAAAGTAGTAGCAATACTCAGTAAGTTACCCCACTATTGGGGTTAAATGCAATAATCACATGCAAATGAGATGATGAGACCTATCTTTCAATCTGTCTTCCTACGGTGCTGTTCTAACCGGTAAATTTGGACGTGTACCATATACTCTACACATAGCCCATACGTGCGAGTACGGGCTCACCAGCCAGTTCGCACACTGCTGGTCCACTTTCCTTGTCGGGCGAGCATACTTTGGGAGCTCCTTAGGCCGGACACCCGTTAGCACTAGTAACCGTCACAGCAGCGCTATGCAAAACATAACGATCGTTGTCCTGCCCTTGGATGTACGCGTCCGTACCCTTGTTTTGGAATAGGGGTATCCTCCAAATGCATGAGCACACATAATGCATGAGGTCCCCAATATTTCTACTTTTATCATTAATGAATATAACCCCGCTATCATCTTTCATGCTTAACATGTCATTTCTCCTTTTTAGTCTACGTATCATACATATTCCTAACGGAGTTACATTTCATTTCATTTGTCGTGATATCATGTCATTCATAACATGTTGTATACATACAATTTAGAAAACATAACATAATTCTCCATGCTTTTAACATGTCATTTCATAACGTGGAATTCATACAACAATTACCTCAATGGTCACACAAAACAATCTAAACATGACATATCACATCACAATATATCGTATCATAAACATGGAGTATCGTAAACACTTCGTGGTCATATTGTTCCCTAACTTATCATAGCCTTAACGTTCTTATACCTATCACAGACATATCGTTACATGAACGTACCTTAGTCATATCATCTCAGGAACGTATTCTAACGCTATCGTTCTATCAATCTATCACAAACCTATCCCTTTCTACCCATATCCTAACCATATTCTTTCAACAATCTCTTCTATCCATAGCACTCTGATACGTAACCTAACCTTAACGTTTCATGAATAAATCTTACTACTATCATTACATTTTGTTTTATGCATCCTTCTCGTATCCTATCTCAAACATATCCTTGAACACATCGTACCACAATTATTATCATACAATTCACATATTATAATATAACATAAACATAATATAAGCATACCGATTCACAGATAATTCACACATATCAGTATATATGACACGTGCAGAACCACAGGCACGTGTGAACATCAAATATAACCATGTCGATTGTAAGGCTACTTACCTAGCTAGCTTAAGTCATTGTCACGAATATATCTTTAATGAAAGTTCGATTCAGTCCTTTGAAATCCTAGTCAACCTACGTGAGCCCATGATATCAGTTTCAAGTTTGAACTCTAGAAAATTATTTCTCTAATTTACATTGATCCATTGTTAAAAGTCTTGAAATGTTATATATATATAATCATATTTTTATTAAAAATCTTATTTTCCTTGGTTATTGTTGTATAAAAAAAAGTAGATACAATTGTTTCAAGTTATTCTGGCTTTACTACTCTCTGGATTTCTCTAGATTTACCCTATATTTACCTTTTTCTCTATATTTAGTTAGTAGTTTTTAATTTTTTTTTTTTTTGTTGTTGTATCGGTTACCTTTTAATTCAATTCTCATGCATTCCAAATTTCCAGCGGATCTCTGTTTCCAAACCTTTCCTTATCTCAGTGTCATTCCAAATTTTCAGCTGATCTCTGTTTCCAAACCTTTCCTTATCTCTTTGTTCTTGTTCACAAATTTTATTGGTCATTCTATTTTTAATCTATTAATTTGGCTACTGATATACATTTAATCTAATATTATTAATCTGATGTGATTTACTAGCATTTGTATAAATGATTGACATTTAGTTTCTAACTCAAAGCTAAACCATTGTAATAATTCAGTGAAGATCTAACTATAATGGGCCGTCATTTCTAAAAAAATAGGATAAAGGAAAATGAAGATTTAATATATATCTGATTTAATATATACCTTATTAATCAGATCTATCTTCACGTAAATCTCTGGTGAATCTCAACTAGGTAAGGTCATTCTCATTTTTTTTTCCTATGTAAATCTCACCATTATTGTTTTTCTATTTCTTTTTTTGCAGTACCTATTACTTTCTGGTGTAAGGACAAAATGAAGAGAGGCAATAAGGACGGAATGAAGAGAGATAATTGTGGGGAGGGATGAGAGGTTAGTGGAGAGAAGTGGGGAAAGGTTGTTTTAGTACTGAAATTGGATGGGTACTATGATCATTGGGTAATGGTCATGGAAAACTTTTTTAGTACAGGGTTTGATGGAGAATAGGATTCCCGCAGCAATAGGACACATCGTTTTAACAGATACCCAGAAGAAGCACATTGAAGATCATAAATTGAAAGATTTGAAAGGAAAGAATTATCTATTTCAAGCATTAGATCGTTCGATCTTGGAGACAACCCTCAACATGAAGTATATGGGAATCTATGAAGTAGAAATATCAAGGTTCGACACGGGTAAAGCGTGCACAATTCGCAATCTCTTCGGAAGGAGTTTGAAATGCTGCACATGAAGGTAGGAGAATCTGTGAATGAGTATTTTGCTCGGACCCTTAGCATAGCCAACAAGATGAAACTAAATGGTGAGAACAAAGAAGATGTTGAAGTAGTCGGAAAGATTCTGAGATCTATGACCCCCAAGTTTGATTATATTGTGTGTTCCATTGAGGAGTCCAAGGGTACAACCATCTTAACCATTAATGAGTTACAAAGCAGCCTGCTTGTACATGAACAACTCATGAGTTCTCATGTTGAAGAAGACCACGCTTTGAATATCACTCATGGTGAACAATCTAGAGGAAGGGGTCATGGTCGTGGAAGTTTTAGAGGCAGAGGAAGGGGACGAGGCAGACAAACCTTCAACAGGGCCACAGTGGGTGCTATAATTGTCACAAGCTAGGACATTTTCAATGGGAATCTCAAAGCAAGGAGAAAGAGGCAAACTATGCAGAGACTCAAGAAGATATGCTGTTGACGGCTTGCGTGAATATGAATAAGGCCAATAGAGAAGATATGTGGTTCCTTGACTCGAGATGTAGCAATCATATGTGTGGGAAGAAGAAATATTTTTTTAGATTTTGATGGAAGTTTTAGAGATTGCTTGAAGTTGGGCAACAACTCAAGCATGGTTGTAACAGGAAAGAGTAATGTACGGCTGCAAGTTAATGGAATCATACCTATGTACTAGAGCTGAAGAAGAATTTGTTGAGTATTGGGAAATTGCAATCAAAGGGGCTTACCATTTTGTTTCAAAATGGAACGTGCGAGGTGTTTCATCCTGAGAGGCTTAATCATGGAGACAAAGATGCCTTTGAATCGAATGTTCGTACTGCATGCTATATCTCGGCCTGTAGCATCCACTTGTTTCAATACAATCACAAAATATATTTAACAACTTTAACACTATAGATATGGAAGACTCTTGAGCAAAAGGAGATGGTGGATCCATATCTTGAGCAAAAGGAGATGGTGGATGCAGCTCAATTCTCCTCTCCTAGTAAAAATTGTGTGATGGGTAAACAATCATCAATTTTTTTTGTCCACATAAAAAAAAGAAGCATGTTTTGAAATTTAATTGAGAGGGGAGAAGTTCAAATTCGGCACTTTTTCACTTAATGGTTCTTAATCATCTCGCTTTCAACATTTTTTTTTTTTTTTTTTTTTTNNTAGAATCCATGGAAGTCAAAGACATAAAATTAATCCTAATTAATTTTTTGAAATGAAAACTTTATTTTATTTGAGAAATTTTATTGGGTTGGAAATTACGATATACGTTGGAATTCGATTAGCTAAAAATGGTTTTTATAAATAATTTTTTATTTTAACTAATTATTATTATTATTATTATTTTATAATAATAGTAAAGTGAATATAACTCAATAGTAATTAAAATGTTAAATTAGGTCGGAGGTTCTGTTTCATCCACTCATCTATGTTTTAATTTAAGATTATTTTTTTAAAAAGAAAAAAAATACAAAAATTCATAACTCAATTAGTCATAAATATTTCTAAGAAATTCTCCTTATATAAACCCAATCTAACTCGATCATAAAATTTTTGGGTTAAATTAGTTCATTTATTTACTCACAATTTAAGTAGAATATTAACCTTATTTATTTATTTTCAAATATTTAATTAAGCCACTAAATTTTACAATATATTTAAAAAAAAGTAGTGGAAGAATAAATTAAATTAAATTAAATTAAATAAAGCAATAAATATATACTAACATGACAAGTAAAAATGTATCTTTTAAAATTAACCATAATCTGGGTAGATTAAGTTCCATTAATCCTAAAAAAAATTTATAAACTAGCTAAATCTAGAAAATTTTCATTTATTTGAACCTAATCCAAACAAAAATCTCTTAATTACACATGGAAAGCCCGAACAAATTCATTTCGGTTGAACTTGCAAACTTGATGCATGACAAAATCAGTTTATAATTCATCGTTTTCCCCATAAATTCCATATTATGTTTTCCATCTCTACATAAATCCTTCCCTTATTTTCAATCTTCATCTCATCTCTCATCGGAATTATGTGGACCCAAACCCTTCCAATCATGGCCACTTTCATGTTCCTCCTCCCGGTGACTATCTCGCGCTTCACAACCGCGCTCGAGCCCAGGTCGGCGTTGGCCCCATGCAATGGAGCAATACCGTGGCCGCGTACGCTCAAGCCTATGCGGAAAAAAGAAAGGGTGACTGCGCCATGATTCACTCAACCGGGCCGTACGGGGAAAACATAGCCGCTGGGTACTACCCTGAGTTTACCGGGGCGGATGCGGTGAAGCTGTGGGCGAACGAGAAGCCGTTGTATGATCATGCGTCGAATAAATGCGTGGGTGGTGAATGTGGGCACTACACTCAGATGGTGTGGCGAAGCTCGGTCCGACTTGGATGTGCTAGAGTGCCCTGTAAGGCTAATTCTCAGTTTGTTGTTTGCAATTACAATCCTCTTGGCAACTATATTCGGGAAAAGCCTTATGATTCTTTGGTGGTTTGAAGAGATTTGGTTTTAAAAATTTTATGAATGGTAATAAAGTTTATGAGAGAATCATGAATTTATGAATTGAAATAAAGCTATGGTATTGTCTATAATAGTATTATATTGTCTTGTTTGAGTTAACTCCAGTGACTTTGTTTTAACCTCCTTGAGTTAACTCTTGTGACTTTGTTTTGACCTCCTCCCCTATAAACCCATGATCATAGAGTCTCCCCTCTAATTAAGTACATCATAGAGCCACCCCTGAAGCCTGTAGATTTCTAGAACAACCTTCCCTTAATCGAGGCTCGACTACTTTCTTTGGAGCCTTTGAACAAAATACACCCTTTGTTCGACACTTTTGACTACAATTTTGAGGCTAACAATTTCTTTGTTTGACATAGCTAAGTTAAGTTCATGGTCTGATAACCATGTTAAGAATCACGAATCTCTACAATGGTATATGATAGTTGTCCACTTTGAACATGAGATTTTCTCATAGGTTTGCTTCGGGCTCCTAGAGATGTATTCTTTACTTATAAATCTACGATCATTTCCGAACAATCTTCAATACTGAGAACACCAGCCACCAGCCAATTCCTGTTCTAAGTCACTCAAAAGAAATGCCCTCGGCAGAGATGTGAAAAACCAGTCCACGGTGTTTTTGAACTCCAAATCGAGAGATGCACGGCGGCATTTAACTCCGCTGCACTATGAGACTCACACCGGAGACAAAGGCCCACTGTCGCAACCTAAACTTTTAAAAAAACATACATATTCATAAACTTTGAAAAGAGTAGGATAAGAAAATGTTTAAGAATTTGTTATTTCCTAAACTTTGAAAAGAGTAGGATAAGAAAATGTTTTAACAATTTGTTATTTTAAAAGTGTCTAATAAGTCTCCAAATTTTAAAAAACTAACAATTTTTAATATGAAAATTTAACCTATTCAACTACTATTTTAAAAATGATGAATTTATGGGCTAGAATGGAAAGTTTAATGGATCACGTCAGACTAATCGTAGTGCAACCAAGTGAGTCAATTGGGTTAGCCACTAGCCGACTCTACCACACTCTACCACTAAACTTAGCCAAGCCCTAAACTTAGCCATGTCAATAGAATACTCAAATGTCGAACAAACGACTCCAAAAGAAAATGGAAAAGAAAAGGAGTCGAGGGGAGGTGTTGGATGAAAGTCCCACTTAGGGAATTTAAGGAATGATCATGGGTCCATTGGGGTGAACTCAAAGTGGACTTGGATCAAAGTCCCACTCGGCGAATTTAGGGAACGATCATGGGTCCATTGAGGTGAACTCAAAGTGGACAATATCTTCGTAATGGTATGATATTATGTGCTTTCTTACCAATACTGCAAAAATAAATGGAGAATTACCAAGTTTTAGGAACCATCCATCTCTACACTGATATGATACTGTCTACTTTGAGATTAAGTACTTTCTGCTTGTTGTCCTGTGAGATTATTCCTTACTTATAAATTCATGATCATTTCTTAAAGACTCTCTCTTAAAAATTTTACACACGGAGAATAGCTCCCATAATAGCTGTCAAATGTTGTTTGAAGTCAACGGGAATAAATGCCCACGACCGAGATGCGAAAAACCAGTCACAATGTTTCGGCCTCCAAATCGGGAGACCCACGACGGCGATTGGCTCTGCTGCACATAACTCAATAGTAATTAAGATATACTCGATGGTATTAATAACACATGCGGAAGCAATTTGGATTTTAGGCACTTTTAGAACATCAATTATAATAAATAACTAGCATGTTCATAAGTATTAAAACTTAATGAGTTTAAATACTAACCTTTTGTAGTTCAAACTCCTTTTTCCTCATGAACCGGTTTCGAACCACCACTAGTGTCTTTTCCACTATCCTCCGGCCTTAGAACGGGATTGTGGAATCCGGTGAGTGACAAAACTTGGGAGGGATTTTGTATATGTGAAGAGAGTGTTTGTGAGAGGTTTTTCTCAAGGTTTTTCACCAAGAAGAAGAAGACGTTCCATGTACCATGATCACTCTATTTAAAGAGTCATGTTTGCATGTTTATGCAAATTTGAGATCACCAAATTTTGACACTTAAAATTCCACTCAAATGTTTGGGATTATGGGGGCAAGCAAGCATGTTTGAGTTAACCAAATTTTGACACTCAAAATTCCACTCAAACTTGTGGGGTTTAATCGGCAAGCATGAAAGTTTGGTTAAACCAAATTTTGACACCTCAAAATTCCACTAGCATGGATTTTTCCATTAAATGAAGTCAACATTTTGACTTTCTTCATTTTAATTCAACAATTAATTTGAATAATAAATTTCTAATTAAAGTAACATTAAATGATTAATTAAACTATTTAATTAATATTTAATATTAATTCATTTGCCAATCTCAATCAATCATGACACATAATTGATTAAGATATTTAAATCTTATTTAAATATCTCAGATTCTCTCTTTTTGTTAAGTCGTCAATAAAACAAAAATGCGGTTTAATATATCGTATATATGTAACGCGTATTCCCTAATTTAAATTCGAACACTTCGAACTCACTCGTCACACTGTTTTATGGTTTAGTCCGATATGAGCTAGCAGAGGGACCTAATGGACCTATAGATCATGGGCTCCAACGATCCAAGATTAACTGGCTAAACTCATTAACCTTGTTAACCAACATTCGTTAACTACTAGGACATTCCACTATAGCCTAGTAGTTGCACTCCCCTCACTATAGATATATTTCTGTCCATTTGATATAACCATGATTAGTAAGTCGATCCTTCACAGGTTGTTCGTAACTAGAGCTTGGTCAATTTACCATTTTACCCCTAAAGTTACTTCTTGTTCCTCATGTCTCATTGATCCTCTAATGAACAATTGGTTTGTGGTCCAACCAGTAAACCGAATCCCTCTCAGGCTAATGAAAGGGTGGGGCCCCTTGTTCAAGACCTAGAGTCAGTGCTTAAGAAAACTACCTCTCTTCTATCCCTAAAAGTGGGTAGGAGTGAGTTCCATCTTGCACCCCACGTCCCCAGCCATTCACCCAGTCTTACCCCTGAAATGGGAAGCCTATTGCATCGCGAACTAGAGCCACTCTCACACATGAAAATCTAAGGATAATTCTGAATAAACAGGAGTTCATGGTTAGTTCAGGATTAAAATCGAGTTACCTAGGTTATCGAATGAAAAGAAAATCAGTCTCTACAGTAAACGACATTATAAAGTGAGAGTGGTTTTCTTTATGGTCTGATCTTATGAAATACTCATTGCATAGGACGCCCCCACTCACATGTCTCCACATGTACAATTTAGTGATCACATTGTTTATATCATATACAAAAGTGGGCCGCATTCATAGTGTCCCCAGAATAAGGTACTCAGCCTTATCCTTATACTATAGATCATTTTGATTATATATTTGAACTTGATCCACTCTTATGTCTCTACATATAGTTCAAGTAATCATACTATAGCCAAAGTGTTCTTATTTTATTGGATTTAGATTAATGATCGTAAAGTTCACTTTATTCAATAACAATCTTTACTGAATAAACAACAATAATAACTTTATTGAAAATAGAATATGTTTTTGTTTACAAACTATGAGTTTTAGGACATAAAACCCAACAAACTCCCACTTGGCCTAAAACTCTAGTGGGTTTTATAACGTTGAGTAGAGAGAAATACAATAAACTAGGGCATCACATACTCATGCCTTTTCTCCCACTTGCCCTAGATTACATAACTCGTAGTTCTAGACTCACTAGGTGCCCTTCAAACACTTCAGCCGTAAGGGGCTTTGTAAATGGATCAGCAATGTTGTGCTCTGAAGCTATTTGTGTGACGATCACATCTCCTCGTTGCACAATCTCCCTTATGAGACGATATTTGCGCTCAATATGTTTTCCTCGCTTATGGTTTCTTGGTTCTTTTGAATTTGCAACTGCTCCACTGTTATCACAATAAAGAGTGACGGGAAGATGCATATTTGGAACGACTTCCAAATCAGTTAAGAACTTCCTAAGCCATACAGATTCTTTCGCTGCTTCACAAGCAGCAACATACTCAGCCTCCATGGTGGAATCAGCAATGCAACCTTGCTTTATGCTTCTCCCTATTATTGCTCCTCCGTTCAAAATTTTAAGAAAATATTAACATTATTTACTTATTTTTGAACATGTAATTAACCAATTCAATTTTAATATATATTTTAAAAAATTGGAGAAGAATAAATAAATAAAATTATAAAACTAAATAAAACAATAAATATATACCTACAAGTAAAAGTGTATCTTTTAATATTAACCATAATCAGGCGGATTAAGTTTCATTAATCCTAAAAAAAATTCATAAACTAGCTAAATCTAGAAAATTTTCACTTATTTGAACCTAATCAAAACAAAAATCTAGCCCGTAATTAAACATGGAAGCAAGAATGAATTTATTCTCTTTGAATTCCCAAGCATGGCATAATTAGTTAATAATTCATGGTTTTCTCCCTCACATTCCATATTAAGTTTTCTATCTCTATATACATCATTCCCTCATTCTCAATCTTCATCTCATCTCTCATTGGAATTACGTGGACTCAAACCCTTCCGATCATGGTCGCTTTCATTGCCACTTTCATTTTCCTCCTCGCCCTAACCAACGCTCAAAACGCCCCCGGTGACTACCTCGCGCTTCACAACCGAGCTCGAGCCCAGGTCGGCGTCGGCCCCATGCAATGGAGCAACACCGTGGCCGCGTACGCTCAAGCCTATGCGAAAAAAAGAAAGGGTGACTGCGCCATGATTCACTCAACCGGGCCGTACGGGGAAAACATAGCCGCGGGCTACTACCCTGAGTTTACTGGGGCAGATGCGGTGAAGCTGTGGGTGAACGAGAAGCCGCTGTATGATCATGCGTCGAATAAATGCGTGGGTGGTGAATGTGGGCACTACACTCAGATGGTGTGGCGGAGCTCGGTGCGGCTTGGATGTGCTAGAGTACCCTGCAAGGCTAATTCTCAGTTTGTTGTTTGCAATTATGATCCTCCTGGCAACTATATTGGGGAAAAGCCTTATGATTCTTGGGTGGTATGAAGAGATTTGGTTTTAAAAATTTTATGAATTGTAATAAAGTTTGTGAGAGAATCATCAATTTATTTATTGAAATAAAGCTACAATATTGTCTACAATAGTTATATTGTCTAGAGCATAAACTCTTATGACTTTGTTTTGACTTCCTTACTTATAAACTCATCATCATAGAGTTTTGCCTCTCATTAAGTACACCACATAGAGCCACCTTTGAAGCCTATAGATTACCTATGATCATAGAGCCTCTCCTCGAACAAAATACACCATAGAGCCTCCCCTGAAGCCTATGGATTTCTAAAAGAAACTCCCTTTAATCGAGACTCGACTTCTTTCTTCGGAGATCTTGAACAAAATACACAATTTGTTTGACACGTTTGACTACGATTTTTAGGCTTACAACTTTTTTGTTCGACATAGCTAAGTTAAATTCATAGTTTGATACCATGTTACTAATCACGAATCTCTACAATGTTATATGATATTTGTCCACTTTGAAAATAACATCATGGGTTTGCTTCAAGCGCCCACAAGAAGTCATGTTAATGAAAATGTATTCTTTAGTCATAAATCTATGATCATTTCCGAACCGTCTTTAACACTGAGAGCATCAGCCACTAGCCAATTGCTGTACCAAGTCACCCGGAAGAAATGACCTCGGCGGAGATGCAGAAAACCAGTCACGTTGTTTTCAGCCTCCAAATCGGGAGACCCACGACGACGGCGATTAACTCCGCTGCAATATGATACCCACACCGAAGACGAAGACGCACTACCGCAACCTACCGGTGTTTACTGGCTCTGAATATGGAGACCAACGGGGCTAGAGTAACTGCACCCTTGAATTATTTAGCGAAATAGAATGTTGTTTTTAAGTGAGGGATATGCAAGAGAATGCATTCAATGAGCTTAAGAAGAAATTAACTAGTGCACCATTACTTGTCTTGCAAAACTTTGATAAAACTTTTGAAATTGAGTGTGATGCAAGTGGTTTGGGCATAAATGCTATTTTGATGTAAGATGGAAAACCTTTAATATATTTAAGTGAAAAACTAAATGGGACAACATTGAACTATTCTACCTATGGTAAAGAATTGTTTGTTTTAGTCTGCACATTGCAAGTGTGACAATACTACTTATGGCTTAGAGAATTTATAATCCACTCTATTCATGAAAGTTTGAAGTATCTTAAATGTCATAGCAAACTAAATCATAGGCATGCAAAGTGGGTGAAGTTTATTGAAATATTGTCATATGTTATCAAATATAAGCAAGATAAAGATAATATGGTAGCTGATATATTATCTAGAATGTATAATCTCTTTACTTCTCTTAGTCCAAAAATTCTTGTATTTGAGTATATTAAAGAATTATATAAAGATGATGCATCTTATCTTGTGAAAAGAGCTGGGGATGATTATTATATGTTTCATGAATTTTTATTTAAGAAAAGTAAGATTTGTATTACTAAATGCTCTATAAGAGATTTGCAGGTAAAAAGAAGCACATGGTGACAGCTTACTGGGACATTTTGAGATTAATAAAACTTATAAGATGTTGCATGAACACTTCTCTTGGCCGAAGATGAAGCACAATGTTCATAAGTTTTGTAGCCAATATTTTAAATGCAAAGAAGCTAAATCTAAATCACAACCAAATGGATTGTATACTCCTTTGAATGTATCTAATGAACTTTAGACTAATATATTTATAGATGTTTGGTGCACACTAACAATGGTAAAGATAGTATTTTTGTTGTGTCAGACACATTTAGTAAAATTGTTTATTTTATTGTATGCAACAAGACGGATGATGTAAAACATGTTGCTGATTTATTCTTTAAGAAAGTAGTAAGATTACGTGGAATCTATAAAATAATTGTTAGTGACAAGGAGGTTACCTTTTTAAGTCACTCTTAGAAAGTATTGTGGGGGTAAATTGGGTACCAAGTTGTTTTCAACTGCATATCATCATCAGACTGATGGGAAAACGTGGTTAATAGAATATTAGAAACATTGTTTAGGGCTATTATTTTTAAGAATATTAAGTCTTGTAATGAACGTTTGCCATTTGAAGAGTTTACATATAATAAACCATTAACAGTACCACTCATTGTTTTCGTTTTGAAGTTGTTTATGGATTTAATTCCCTTACGCCTCTTGATTTGCTTCTTATTCATTCTAATATTTTTGCGAGTGAAGCAGCCACAAGTAAGACAGATTTTATCAAAATATTACACAAAGAGGTGGAGAGAAATGTGAAACAAAATTTCAAAGTTGCTTTAAGAATTAACACAGGACGAAAGGAAATCATTTTTCAACCCAGTGACTAGGTTTGGATACATTTTCGCAAGGAGAGATTCCCATCTCAAAGGAAAACAAAGTTACATCCAAGAGGGGATGACATTTATTAAGTTCTTAAATAATTAATAACCATGTCTATAAAATTGATCTTTCTGGAGAATTTCCAGTACATTCTACTTTCAATGTTGCTGACTAGAGTCCTTTTGATGTAGGTGATGATTTAACTGATTAGATGACGAATCCTTTTGAAGAGGGGAAGATGATAAGGATCACGGTGTTCCAAATGTTCCAATTGGACCTATTACACGATCTAAGACCATGAAGATTCAACAAAAATTCATTCTTCATTTACAAAATTGGATAGGCTCGGTTCAACCATTATTTCATGTGTTATAAGTTGATTCGATTTAGGAATGACCATTTGAAGCTTCGGAAGTGAATATTTGTACGGTTGAAGTAGCGGATGAAGTTGTTATAGGGGTGGGAAGTTAGTTGTCAAAGTGACTTATCATTCTTCATTCATAATGGGTTAGAAAATTTTAATTATTTTTAATTTCTTAATTTATTGCGGTTACAAAAAAAGGTGGGAAGTTAGTTGTCAAAATCATATTTATTTATTTTATTTTATTTTATTTATTATTATTATTATTATTTTTTTTTTTGTTGAGATTTAGAGGGGTGGGAGTAAATTATGGTGACTAACTTCTTTACTCACATTTGAATGGTGACTAACTTATTTACTCTACTTTTGTGAGGAGACTATAAATACCCAAAAATTATTATGTAAAAAATAGATTTTGGTGAATGAAATTTAGTGCTCAAATTAAGATTATATCCTTGAAAATTTGAGTATTATTTTTTTAATTTCTAAGTTACATGCAAGTCTTATGATTGCATCTCAGTTATTCAATCAAACCTTTCAAATTGAATTGTGAAACGACCCAATTTAGAAAAAGATTACAAATCTTGATGATAGATATTTAACTTAATTTTAGCCTTTATACATGGTTGATTCTAATTTTGTATAAGGTTGGTTAATTTCTTTGATTAAAGGTTCTTGCTTTAACAAAACCTTGATAGTTGGATTGAGAATTAGGGTTGTCTTATCACGTCTCCTCCCCACAACTACATGTGTCAGGAAGCTGATGCCGAGTTCTTCGGCTCAGTCAATTCAATGCAGCTCGGCTCAGCTCGGTGCAACTTTTCAACTCAAAACTCGACCATTCAGCTTGGTATAGACATTTTGATATCAATTACTCGATCATTCGGCTTAATACGACCTTATCTAAGACGATTAAGATCAGTATAAGGTCCGTTTTCTCAATATAAGTTAAATTGAGATAAGAAATTCGTATTACTAACGAAACGAGATGAATGTTCTAATAGGAAATAACTCTCGACGATATTTGGAACAACTTCGAGGGATGGAATACAAACATACTCGAGTTTAGGGAGAACGTCGACTAAGGTCAACAAATTAAGTGACCTTACTATCGATACGGTTAGGAATTAATGTTTGTATGAAGACACGTGCCCCTAGTTTTGCACGTGTTATATGCTTGACATATGACTATGATATGTTTATGAAACGATATGACTATGATATGTTTATAAAACAATATGACTATGATATATTTATGAAACAATATGACTATGATATATTTATGAAAGATATGATTATGATATGTATATGAAACGATATGACTATGATATATTTATGAAATGATATGAAAGGATAAATCCATAATAGGTCTATGAAACAATGGGACCATGAGATGATACGTGAATGTTATGACATGTGTTTTGATGTGATGTATTGATGATATGATAAAGGTTATGTTGTAACACGTTTGACGATATAGTATATGATGTTACATGATATGTTGATGATATGAGATATGTATGATATGACACGATGCGACACGATGCATGATATGAATGATATAAGACAAGATGTGTCGATACGGTGCACAACCTCAATTTATGTATGGAAAGCTAGGATGAAAATAACATGATATGAAAGAAAATGAGAGGTGTTGTCTTACATGACAATGATTAAAAATATTGGGACCTCATGCATCATTGTGTGTCCATGCATCGGGGAAATACCCCTCTTTTATGATGGTATGGATGCGTACACTACGAGGTAGGAAAACGATCATTATATTCATTATAATGCTTTGACGGTCGCTATTTCTAACGGGTGTCCGAAAACAATAATTCCCAAAGAATGCTCGCCAAACTATGAAAGGGGGCTTAGGAGGTGTGCGAATCAACTGATGGGGTCAATACTCGCATGTGTGGGTCGTGTGTAGAACAGTGAATACCTATCCAATTAACATGTTTAGGATAGTCACATAAGAAATATAGACTGATATGATAGGTCTCACTCATAATTGTATGTGCTTGCATCTAACCCCAATAGTGGGGTCACTTACTGAGTATTTCTTAAAATACTCAAGCCACGTGTTACTTATATTGTAGACGTTTCTTTATTGGATAGTGGCAAAGCTGTTTTAGGTTCCTTTTCAGGTAAATGCAAGACAATCTTGTACAACTGACGATGACATCTTAACTCGAGACCATGGCATAGGAATAAGGTAGTTATATTTAATTTCTTAGACTTAGGTTAGAATAGAGTATTTGCTTTTTTTAATATTTATTTATTACATTTAGTATTTTGTTGTGTCGTTTTAAACAGGT